TAATAACAAAAGATAATAAGCCCTTTTTTTTTATAGCAACAACAAAACATATGGTTTTATGGATATTTAAGATAGCCAAAATATTTTTTGATAGTTGTAACAGCAAATCATATGGTCTTATGGATATTTAAGATAACCAAAATATTTTTTGATAGTTGTAACAGTAAAATATTTTTGGATATTGTAACAATAAATATTTTTTGGTTTTTTGTAAATCAACAAAATATTTTTGGCTTTGTAACAGCAAATATTTTTGGATATTAGAACAAAATATTTTTTTAAATGTTTTTTTTAAAATATTGTAACAAAAACATATTTTTTTTAAATATTGTAACAAACACATATTTTTTAAATATTGTAACAAAAACATATTTTTTTAAATATTGTAACAAAAACATATTTTTTAAATATTGTAACAAAAACATATTTTTTAAATATTGTAACAAAAACATATTTTTTGGGCTTTGAGATTTTTGTAACAGCAAAAAGAATAACCAAGCTTTTTTTGGACAACAAAAAAAATGGACAGCAAGAATATTCTGGACAGCATAGGTATTTTTTTTTATTTTGGGACAGCAAGCTCTAAACAAGTTGGGACAGCAATGTGATAAACAAGTTTTATGCGACGGAAGAAGTAAGCTTTTATTACACTTATTATTATTATCAATATTATGAATACTAACATGTTTAAAATGCTAACAATCATGCAGCAAATCAACTCAAATACAGTACAACAAAACAAAAAACTGATAAAGCAAATATTACATGGCAAAGAAAAATGGTACAGCAAGTGATTCAAGCATGAACATATGCAACAGTAGAGCAACAGTAGATAGAGAGGAGAAAAAGAATATACCTATCGGAGCCTCTCCGATGGGGCTTCTAACAAAATGGTAAGCTTCCTTGAATTTGCTATCTTTTCTCCTTGTTGGATTTTTCAGAACAACACTAATTTTTTGATTTTTTCTACTTGCTGAATTTTTCTAGAACAACACCAATTTTCTGTTTTCTTTTACTGCTGAATTTTTTCTTCTCCCTTCTTGTGTTGATAAAAACTCTTATTTATAGTGGAGTATGTGGGATTTGTGGGGGAAAAACAGTAGAAATTCAAACTTTTTTGGCAAGCTGTTTCTATACTTTGTTCTCACAAATTGCTTTAGCCATTTTAATACAAATTGTTGCTACATTGATGCAGGTTGGAGCAGGTTTTTGGCAGAACTTGGAGTTGCTGTATGTTGCTCTTTTTTTTACTGTTTTGTAGCATTTCACAACATTTCTCTTTGCTGTTTTTTTCAGGTTATTTGGAGCATTATTTGACCAACAAAAATGCAATAAAATGGGCTTGAAGAAAGGTTGCAAACATGGGCTGCACTAGCACTTTGCTGAATTTTTTTTCATGTTGAAAATAAATCTTGTACACACTTGTAGCTTCTTGTAACCTTGTGATAAACTCCAATAAATTGTAACACTGAATAAATATGCATTCTTCAATATATTTTCCATTCTTTAGGTAGTTATGAATGATCTTGAATCTTCACATAAACATGAATCTTGATATATCTTGATAAAAAAATCAAGATCTTCCATTTAAATTTGGGAAATAATTGAATAATACTTGGATGAATTGTTGAATGTTGAATAAATAATAAAGCAAGTCTTGGACTTTAATCTTGCACTTGTAATAGAAATCCAAATAAATCACATGGATTAATTTTGTAACCAAATAAAATTCCTCATGTAATTAAATAGAATTCCCCACTAACTTCTTGAAATGATACTTCAATGTATTTAAATAACCATGGTGTAGATCTTCCAAAATAATCACAAAAATAATCTTGAATAAATATTCCATGTGATAAATGAATATTCTTGGATGAAAACTCTTGAATAGCTCCTCTTTAATTATCACTTGGATTCAAATAAAGAAAATTCCAAATATTCCAAATAAATTCTTCTAGAACAGTTCTGAATTTAATTATCCCATTTCGGCGAAATTCAATCCGCCTCGTGAGAAAATTTGCAAATGACTTTTGGTTCAAGAAATCAAAAATGACGGTATGACTGGGTTTTTCTTGTATTTTAGAACAATGTGAAACACACATGAACCAAAGCCGGTAGAATTTTGACTGTTCTTCCTGAAAAATATTCGGAGAAAACGGAGACCATTTGCCGGACAGAATGTGGAAATAAACGCACAATTTTTAGAAATTCTTTGATGAACCAGTCTTTTGGAAATTAACGAACGACAACATTTCTGTTCTGAGACTCGAAATCCTGATCGACGTACAACGTCTGATGCTCTTCTTTCAGACCTATTTTCTGCACATGAAAATAAAACAGCAAAACATGCACTTCGTGCTTGATTAGTGGTTAGTCATTCATAAGATAAAATACTCACAACACTCGGTAATCTCTACACAGTCAAAGTTTGACAGCGAAACATTCGAAACCTACCATATTCTGTGACCTTGATGCGTATGAAAAATAATGCAGATGAAGCAGGGATCTTAGGTCAAAAATTGAGGTATGACAGGAACTAAAGAGCAGTTGAGGAAGATTGCATATCCGGAAACCACATATTTAGAACCTCATTTGAAATCGGTTAAAACCAAAGGTGTCCCTAAAAAGTTTAAATCGACTAAGATGACAATTCAACAAAGCGGTGTCCATCATACTTTGAACATTTTGATTCACATTTCCCTGATTCTTCAACTCCAAAATCTAAAAAAAGTGTGTACAAGGGTGCTCATATTAACAAACCACCTCTTTCACCACTGATGCCGAAAATAATCTTCATTAAAGAAATGCCGCTTTTTATGCACAAACACACTGAGTGAATTGTAAATGTTAAGGATGATGGTAATTGTGATTTCCAGGCCGTATCTGGCTTGCTCGGTAAAGGAGAGTATAATCATTGTCTTGTCCGCCAAGCTCTTTTGAAAGAGTTGACGTCGTATGGAGAATTCTGCACAATGTTATACGAGAACAAAATAATATTTTGATGCAATTCAAGATGCACTTACTCCTTGTGTTAGCGATCCTGTACCGTTTTTAAAATGGATGCGCTTCTTTGATATGGGTCATCTTATAACAAGTACATATGACGGGGTGTGTATCGATCTGACAATATATGATTTCTTGGATATATTTTTTCACTTCAGAGTGGCCCACCTAAAGACCCTTCCGGACGCATCATGTGCATAAGATGGCTTTCAAAATTGCTATATTTTGTTGAGGTTTATTTGAATTCAGAGTTTCCTATAGCAAATACATCGTTGGAGTGGACAACACATTCAACAAAAGAGACAAAAACTTGCAGTTTATTTGAAACTTGGTCGTTCACCAAATTGAGCAAGCTTGAAAGAGAATCAAATAAAAAAAAAGTCGAAGGTGGAGCCAATTGTAGAATTATATGGTGATGGATCTTTTGATGCGTCTTATATTGTAATCGATACACTTTTTTGAATGTATTATTATCAACGATGTAATCTCGATACGATTTTTTATATATATATATATATATATATATAGTAATTATGGCGCAAATGTCGACCCTTTTTGTTTACTCATTTTACAGTTTACAAGTTTTATTTATATTTTCTAAGTTTCTAGTTTGGCTTTGGTTCAGAGGTAATTTTGAAAATGCATATCCGGATAAACCTCATTTAGATTTATTAAAAAAAACAGAGAACTTTTTGGATGTGCATGTCCGAAAATACATTTTTTCGTAAAATAATATGGTTTATCCGGATATGCATCTCTGAAAAGTGCCCTGATGACATGATAAGGTTTCTAAAGTCCAAAGTGATTCAAGTCTTGTATAAATAGGGTGTCTCTCATCCCATTTTCTACAAAAACACCCAATATCAAAAAATGAATACATCCCCACCTTGCATTTGTGTATTTCAATGGTGACAAACCACCACTTCAGTTTAGGGTTTGTGAGAACATAACTCGCGCCGACATGTTATCCAAACTAAATACGCTCTTACAATATCCAAAAAAATCAACGTGTTGTCAAGCTCGAGTATCGTTCACCCTCAGTTGACAACAATAGGAATATATAGTTCACCAACTTCTAACTGAAGACGAATGCATATTTATAGAGGTTATGTGGAATATTTTTTGCAGATATAAAACAAAGAGTTCGATTGAAGTGGATGTGAAAATTGCAAGATTCGTCGATGATATTATCAACATGCTGCAACGTCTAAAACTATCCATTTTCTATTTTTCACTTGACGTATCAAAGATATTTTCGAATATACATCTTTGAAACATAACTGACATAAATTCAAAGATGTATCTCTGAACTAAATTTTAACAAAAATGATTTACTATACGTTCGGAGATGCATCTCCAAACTATAGGGATATTTTTAGGTTTTCACCGGGGGATTTGTGAGAAGGAACAAGGATGAAAATAAATTTCCTTATTATTTGGTGAGCTTCATGTATTTATGTGGTTTACATTTCATATTTGTTGGGATCAATTCCTCATTAATTTCTTCCCCATAAAAGAGTGTGGTTAAAGTAAAGGTGCCTTGCCAACCTATATCATTCCCTTTGTATATAGACATTAATAATTTAGAAAGTAACAAAATGGAGCCAATTAAGGCAAAAATCAAATAAGTTTTGTCCAGGTAATCAAAACAAAGGAAATAAACCAGCTCATAAAATACTTTATTGTATTGTTGTAATACATACATATATGATGGAACAAGCAAACCTCTACAGCCTGTAGAGCAGAAAAGGCAAAAAAAGGCACAAAAAAGGAGCAACCTCTGCTCCTAATAATAAACCACGACATCGATATATAGATACATAAAAAAAAACTGTTATCTTTACTCTCCCTCATTGCTGCTACTCACTTTTACATAACAAAAACTGAATCCAAGTAGAGTTCATTATGTTCAACAGCTCATATCCCTGATAGGACATTGGGAGATAGTCACACTTTAACACACTTCTGTTCAACCATATACAAAGGACTAACAGTTGCTATGATTCTGTTGGAGGATTATGTATGCAGCATAACCAACCTTTCTGAAAATCAAAATATTTCTCATTAGGAAAAAATGTACATACATAAAATTTGTGTTGGCATCATCTATATCTAGGTCAATCAAGCCTCTAACTTCTATCCCAATGTTTCTCAACTTTTTTGAAGAATTCATAATTAAACAAACAAAAATACACAGGAACACAAAAGCAAACACATATACATGCAGAAGATATATATTATATCACAATTACTATGTGAAACAAATATGTTTAATGAAGAGGTCTTACACTATGAGTTTTTCCATTCCCTAATGGAGGCCTGGCTTGAGGGTTTGCCCTTGCAGGTGACTCGGGTTTGGCACCAGTCTTCTTCTCATCCCTGGCTTTGTTAAAAATCACTGTGTAACCTTCAGCTGAAGCCGGATCGTTGACATCCCATTCGCCAAACTTTGGTAGTGGCTTACCCTGGTCCTGTGGGATAATCATATTAGTCAATAAAAGTTCATTGTTATTGGTTATCACTATGAGCTAAATATTACAAACTGACACCAATTATAATTATAAACAAGAGTTGGCTATGACTAGAAAAGATTTTTGATGAACTACAATAGCTTGATATCTTTGCCTCAGAGAATAATGTTTGGTACAATATAGCAAACAAAAATGATTAAATTTTGGAAAGTTCCCAATCAAATCCATAATCATAGAGTTAAACACATTACACCAACTAAACTAAAAACTTATGCTCGGAAAGATATTTAAATGTTATTATAACTTTTTGATCAACCACTAATCCTAACATTTATTCATGGGTGCATAGGTACGGGTACAGTATTCAGTGTGGATACCATTTCTGGTATAAGATACGACATGTTAAAAAAACAAAGTAAATTAATAAAAAAAAACCAGAATTTTCTATAAAATGCTTTAATAAAGAACTAAATTGTTAGGTTTACAACAAAACGTCCCTATAAAAGTTTTAAAAAATAGAAAATAATGTGGAGTTACAATAATAGAGAAATTAAAATATATTAATGTTTGGAAAAATCACAAATTTCACTTGAAATTGAATAATAATAAAAAATGAAATACTGTTAGTGTACCTGATACAAATGCGTACCCAGAACCGGTACTTTACTCAAATATAGGCACACGTAAAATCCTCTAATTGGAAGCAACTAGTCAAAAACATCAATGTTAACAAATGCCAACAATTGTAGCACTCACCTTTAAAAAAAATGTGTGTCCTTGTTACTAATACAAGGACTAGTGATTAAGTTTAATTTATTCATTTATTCAAATAATCTGTATTAAATATCAATATGTCAGTGTTTCCGTGTTAGGTAACATGTAATTGTCGTGTTGTACATCCTTCATAGGCAATACATCTAACTTATTTATTAAGTATTCACAAGAAAAAGACAAACCAGAACACAACAATAAAGCTACTTTATTCTTTCATTTCACATTTTAGAATCGAGCAAAGAGTATCCAATCATGACATATTTGCAACCAATTTTTGCACCTCCATATACATAAATTTAACCGAATTTAACAAAAGTAATCATAAAGAATTTGAAAATTCAATAGATCAATAACCAACAATTAGAAACCATAGAAACAAATGATACAATTGGAAACAAAATCAGAAAATTTGTTGACATACCGCCGACATGGATGAACGCTTTACCAGGAAAGGAACGAAGAGAGAATTTAGATGGAAAATGTGTTATTGTTATATAGAAATGGAAAAGTGGAAAGATGTAACGGTGTTAATATACGTTATGTGTGACTCGGGAGAATGCGTTGTGAGGGAAGGGAAAGAGTAACGGCGTTGAATGGGAAGGAATCGGGGACGACGCGTTTAAATGGGGTTAAGGCTATACCGTGTTTATTGGAAGATGGAAGGGAACATCTCATGTTGTGTTGGTGCCCACTTCTTTGCAATATGCGCATCTATGTCACTGGATCCTTTTTTTCTTTCTTTTTCTTTTTTATTCAAGGAAATTTTCAACTTCTTTTTCTACCTAGGTTTGTTACTTAAAATAATTTTGCATTCGTTTCTAGTATAATTTGTATTTGTTTTAAATATTTTTGCTTTTCATAATGTGAATGTTTTATATTTCCTATGTTTCATATATATACTCATTAGATATGTCAATTATTTAATAAATTTAAAAAAGTAAAATTTATTTATAGTATAGAACAGAGCAAGTAGTTTTTGTAATTCTGGTATCAGATATGTGATGTTGAAAGAGATGTCACGACATAAATATCTGTTTGCAAGTAATGTGCAGTAAAATTAAAAGCAGTAAAAACACAAGAGATTGTCCATCCAATTCAGTGTACAACAACACCTACTCTGGGAGTACCAAGCTACGGACAAGTTCACTAAATAGTATCAATTCATAGACCCTCAGTAAACAATCCAAGTTAAACTTAATCACTTAAGACTCACCAAGTTTACGATCTAATCACTTAATCACTACCCAAGCTAAACTTCTACCTAAGACTCACCTAGGTATGAGGTCATCCTCAAATCCCTTCAATCACTTACAAAATTAATAAGTTTAAAACACTTCAACCATTCAATACTTAAAAGCTTATGAATGATACACAATTAACAACCCAAATAACAACTCAAGTATTTAAACTAATACTTAGAGTGTATTATAAATAAAAAACCTAAACTTCTAAATAGAAAGAAAGTATTCTTCTTCAAAAATTGTTTGTCTTTGAATAAGGAAGCGAGTCCTTATATATGCGCAGTGTTGTACCCCAAAATTTGTCCTCCCATTTCCTCAACATTTTCTCATCACAAGACCCTTTGAGCTCAAGATCAAGTTAGGGTTTACTCTGCTCAAGACTCTTCCTTGCACTACTGACCCAAATTAGGGTTTGAGTTTGCACAAAGATGTTTTGACCTAAAATGGCCAAAGTGACTTTCATGCTTCATGTTGGACTCACAAGTTTATCCATACCAAGTTTCAAGCCTTGATTTCAATCTTTACCCAGTCAATTGGGCAGTTGACCTAGAAATCAGCTGTATTGGGGAAAAAGTCAACTGTGGTCAATTGACAGTCAAACCTCATGATTTTTGACCCACATCAACATTATGAACTCATTTGGACCATTTGATCAAGTTTGGATCACAATTCCACAAGAAATTTGATCAGATCACCAAAAGGGCAAAATGGTCATTTTTAGGGTTTTGATTGCACAAAGGCAATTTTTGACTGTTTGACCTAGCCAATGACAAACCAAGCTCACATATGGACTCAAGGACTCAATGGCATGGTCTTGACACATTCAACAAGTTCAAAAGATCCCAAATGCACACGATTGACAGATGAATTTTCCAGTCAACTGATCAAATTTGACTGTATACTGAAAAAGTCAAACTTTGACTTTTTGGTCAAAATCAAGTGTCAAGATTCATTTCTCATCAAAACATGTCAAATTATGAAACTTGTTCATCAAGAAATCAAAAATCACAAATTAGGGTTTAAAATGAAGAAATTTCATAACTTAGAATTTTTCTAAGTTATGAAATTCCCTTATTTTTTCCTAACTTTGTCCCATCTTTTCATCAAGATACATTTGGATTCAAACAAAACTCAAAACATGAAAGTTATAGTCCATTGCAAAATCTACAACTTTGATTCACAAAGTTTCCTCAAAAGAAGCTTGTAACTCAAGTTATAATTTTTAGAATAGGGGTGTAAAACATTCTTAACTTAGAAATTTTTTGACCTATTTTAGGCAGGATTTTTGCCTAACTTCATGGCCACTTTTCACATGCTTCCACTTGGAATTTCAACTTTCATTACAAAGATGGATTGTAGTACACATTCCAAGCTTTCCAAATTGTCCAAGAACTTCTCAAACACCCTTGTGGTTAGGGAGAATCGAATTTGCAAAGTTGGGAAAAATCCACTTTTGTTCTTGGCCAATTTCATGTTCATACACTATGCATTTTCAAACTCAGCTTGCACAAGCTAGATTACAGGCCTCTAATCCTTCTTACACACAATTATTAAATGCATATCCTTTGTGTTAGAGTGTTATTTTGTGCATTTGGACAATACACACAAAATCAATCCATATATGGAAAAAGCAAGTTTGCCATTTTGAAAAAGCATGGCTTTATGTTAAAGCACAAATCAAAGAGGTACAAGCCAGATCTTTTAGGCACAAGTTTATGGACTAATCCCACTGATCAAGGAGAGAAAATGCAGCATGCTTGAGGGACCTGCCTTGGCCTATAACCCAACTTGACAACTTTAGCTTAGATAAGAAGAAACTTTGCAAAACTGATCCCATCTCTCATTCCTGTAACAACTAGCCAAAGCAAAGTTTGTAAACATTTTCCATACATCATAACAGACCTAAGGCATGACCTAACCACCTTCAATACCTCCCCAAACATCAAAACACCATTTTGTTGCACAAAACAGGGCATCCCTGCAGATTGAGTTGCACAACTCAGTTTGCTCGTGCGTTTTGGCCAAAGCTTGTTCATACACACTCCATAACATCCATACAAACTATCCCAAGCCCTAGCTACAGACTGTAACACCTCTAACCAAGTTCACCATTTTCATTTTTTCAGTTGTGCAGGTTGAGTTACATAGCTCGATTCAGTTAGTTTCAAGGCACACCAAGCATTGGAGGAGCATCCTTGGACCTCAAGCAAGTTGTATAAGTCCTCGCACTGCATTGAAAGCACCCCATTATTGTACACGAATCAAGCTGAACAGGTAAAAGTTTGAACTTCTATCTCTCTATCCAGGCATATCTAGGCTTAGGTTTATGAAGAAGTTATGTCCTACTCATAGCCCTGAAGCTACCCATGTCATTACTTTTCATTTATGTTGTGTGTACTGAGAGAATTTTGAAACTGAATATCTGAAAAAAGCTAGGTCAGGAATTGGGGGAGAAGAAATTATCTCTCATTTCTGAGAGTTAGATCAACTTCTTTATATGTTTAGAATCGTGGCTTCAAGCTCTACAAGTTTCATGTTTTAAGATTTGTCAAAAGATTAAAGAATCAGAAGTTAGTGAGATGAACAAGAAGGCGCGCGTTTTTTGTTTGAAAATGGCTGGAGGTTGAAGACAAAGTCCTTTGGGCTGGGCCTGGCTTATTTTTTCTGTTTGCACCACTATTTCACACATACACCCCCTAGGCCCATTGTGTGTTATTTTTATCATTTTTGACTTTTTCTTTTTGATTCTGACTTGTTATTTTTTGTTAAAATATAAAAAAAAACATTAAAAATATTTTTCACCTTTTTTTGTATTTATTAGGCATTTATTTGTTTTATTTGATATGTGTATGTAAATAAATATATATATATATATATATATATATATATATATATATATACTTTTATTTAAAATACTAAAAATAATACAAATACATTTTATTTTCTGATTTTATTTTATTTTATCTTTTGAAAACATTTTCTAAAAAAAAAATACTTTTTTTTTTGTAAATAATAAATATTTTTATTTTTTTGTATATATTTAATATATTTAACACATAATATAAATATTTATATATTTAGAATATTTAGGATAAAAAAATACAAAAATAATACATTTTTATTTTTATTAATATTTGACCTCAAAAATTACTTTTTTACAATATACTTCTCTTTTATTTATTTTTGTATATAATTAATAAATATTGTATATAATATAATTGATAAATATTATTATTTAGAAAATTAGGGTTTTGCCCTAAAAACACAAAATATCCAAAAATTGATTCTTTTATTTTTTGTTTATATTTCACATAAAAAAAATACTTTCCCATACATATAAAAACCATTTTTGTGCATAAATACATTTTTGCATATTTATTTACTTAATTATTGTACAATTAATCTTTGTATATTCAATTTGGATGTAATAGCTTAGATTTTAATTTCTTGCTAAATATCCCCATTTGAACATTTGTACCCCCCCCCATCCCATAATTGTGTTGTAATAATTTAGGATTTTATTTTTCGCATTTAAAAGCTTTCTAAATATGCCATGATAGACTTAGGGTTTGTATGCAAATCAAAAAAATGACAAATAGCTTGACCTAACAAAAGACAAAAAAGCATGAAAATGGACAACACCAACCACACTTGCACCCCTAGGGTTACTCCACTTGTTGCCTTCAATAATGGTCCATGTTGCATGTTGAGTTTCTTTGGCAAAACAAAACAATTCAAATGATCATAGTCCCTCGATGACGCTTTCGAAAGTTGCCTAAAAATGATCAATTCCCTTAAAGGAAAAATTGCCAAAGACACTTGGCACTATTGCAATCATGGTCTAAACGATGACCCGCGCCCGTCCCTTTAACATCCTAACACAAGATTTTCCACTAAATACAATGGTGGAACAAAATTGTTAAAAGGGTTAAAACATAGGAAAGATCTTTGAGAAATTTAGGGTAGATAGCTCTTGGTTACTTGCCAACTTGCAAAACAAATCCTTGCCATTTTTCAAAAAACCACACTCCACAACACTTTCAAAAAACAAAAACATTGAAAACTTTTCAAAAGATATACACCTTTGTATACATCCAAACATGGGTCATTACAAAGGTTGCCACAACAAATGGTCTCTTTTCAAAACATTTTCAAACCCACACACAAAGCACCATTTCAAACAATTGAAAATGCAAGGCAAGTGATCTAAGCAAGTAACTAAGAGCCCATGGATAACCATGGATAGAAAGGGTGCTAATACCTTCCCTTTCTATAATCTACTCCCCGAACCCAAGAAAACATCTCAAAGGTTTTTGCTGTGCTTTTTAACCTTTCCTTAGGATAAAATAAAAAGTCGGTGGCGACTCTTGCTCAACCGAAACATTTGCGAATACAAACGCAAAACCTCAAGTCAGTTCTCCCACCGTATCACAGAACTGGCGACTCTGCTGGGGAAAATTTTAAAGTGGAGTAACCTTAGGGCTTAGATCACCCTCTTGCATGACTAATTGTTTGCTTTGATTGCTTTATATCTTGGCTCTCTTGTTTGGGCTTGAAA